GCAAACGTCTGCCTCAGGTTCTGTGCAGCCGTTATTCCTTTTGCCCAAGGTGTTCCCCCAGATATTGAAGTGCCTTCCTGCCTAACCTCTTCCCTCCATCAGGTCTCCATCAGCTCAAATGTCACATGTCTTACTAAGAGCTCTTACTAAGTGCCTTCTCTACTATACTACTCCAGGGCCCTCAACACCTGAAATACTTTATCTCTGTCTGCTGCCTGTATTTCCCAGCAGCGTGTACCTGCTGTGAGGGCAACTCCTGTCTGTGTTGTTTCCCCCCTGTGTCCCCAGTGCCCAGAATAGTCTCTGGCTCACAGGAGATGCACAGTGGCTGAATGAATGGGTGGAGAAGTTCAAGCAGGAAAGCAACATGGTACAAACCACACCTTGGAAAGCTTCCTCTTGTAGCCACGTGTGAAGTGGATTTGAAGTGTGGAGGCAGAAGAGGTAGATGGAAATGTACAGGTAGGGCTGGGGAGGAGACTCAGTTGGGTCTTTGCTCATGAGACAGTGTGGATCTTTGAGGTATAGCTGGGATAATGAAGGGGGAGCAAAAGGGATGAAAGCAAGAAGAGCCCCTGGGGACTCACATGTTACATGCTGCTGGGGAAGGACCCGCCTGAAGAGAGGTAAACGGTCAGGGCTGGGCCCTGGAAGCCCCCTAGAAGTGGAGCAGAGCTGGATGACACATGCTATTGCAGAAGGACTGCAGTAAGAGCAGACCTTTAAAGTGTTGCCTTCACTTGGCATTTAACAGGTCAGATGATCTTAACCAACTCAGTGTAGTGGAGGGAAGGGAAGGGATGAGGAAAGATGACCTGGAGGGATACTGGGACCTAAGATGGCTCTTTTCGACTTTAGGATGAGAGAGTCTAAGGCTGTCAGTGGCATGGCATTGAGGAGCATAGAGAGAAGGAGGGGTAAACATCAGAAAACAAGGTATGGGGGAGGCTTGGAGTCTGTAGCTTGTTTCTGTAAGTGAAATCAATGTAACGTGAGACTTTCTCAGCTCAATAACTTATTAGCAATTTTTAATTACTAGGATGTAATTAATTCATTCAAAATGCAGCAGTTCTGTGAAGCACACCACACATGCTGAACTGATAACATTCTTGCACATTAGCGGGTTCTCACACCAAGACATTTTCTTGCAGAAAACTTAGAGGAAATATTCAAAGAGCACACGTTTGTTTTAAGCTGTATTTCTTGATCCTGCAAGAAGATACTACTAACGGGGTGACTGAGCTCCAATGGAGACTGGGGTGGTGGGGGAGGGAGAGTCAAGACTGAAACAGAATTCTCAGCTCAGTCAACCCCAGTTGTTGCACTGATGCTGACCAAATCCATGGAGCAGGGAGGAGGCCCCCCAAATCAGATACTGTGCATAAAGATTCCCATCTGTCCTTGAGATCTTAGGGGTATCTTTGGTTAAAACAGCTGTCAAATGGTTCAGGGAGTAGAGATGCTAAGGGATAGAGATTGAACTTTCTTTGGGCTATCATCTCCATGGGGTTGGGCCTGGCAGCCTGATCACAGTGGTATCCTCAGGTCCTGGCACGGCCTTGACACCAATGGGCATTCAGAAAACCAAGTGAAGATGGGCAGCTAGGTGGAAAATTGCCAAACCCTCCTCTGTGGAGATCTGAGTTAAGGCCAGAGCAGGAGTTGGGTACAGGGACATCCTACCACCACCCCCTTCAACCTAGCCTGGCTCTCAGGGCTGGAACTAGCCTCTGCTTTCTCTCCAGACTCCCTTTCTGTTCCTCCAGGTGCCCTTCCACTGCCCACTCTGTCCACATAGCTGTCCAGAAGCCAATGCTGCTCCTCCATCCCTTCCAAAGGGATGTCCCTGTACCATCTTCCGCCTGAGGATGCCTATACCCATCCTCATAACCTGAACCCTCCCTCACCCTTCAAATGCCCACCTTAAGCATCTTCTCTTCTCTGACACTTTTGCTAAACATTCCCTTTCTTCTCATCCTCAGGTAGATGAATCCCTCCTTCAGGCTCAACTAACATTTCCTTAGAAACTTTCGTGCATCCCGGGAACTTCATCCAGTCTGGAAACCCAGGGGTGCTTCACTTGGTTCTCTTCTTGCTCCTCTGCTAACACTACATGAACTTGGGTGACTTAATTACATTTCTCTTCAAAGAATGAGCCATGTGAAGAAGGCAATGGTTACTTTTGATCCACTGAAGGTCAAATTCTAGCCATGGACTAAATAAATATGGAGGAGCCATCTTTTTTGCTCCCCCCAGGAGGGCCCATCACCCTTCACCTTCCAGTCCATATCCAGCATTGCCACATAAGTGGGTGGGATATTACAGCCTCTTGCATCTGTCCCTTGAATGTGCCCTTCTATTTGCAACGACTCCATCGTCATCCAAGAGCTACTGATACCACTTAGAGAAGACTACTCATGCTGTGATTGGAGAACATGCTTCATACTCTTGCCACTTAACACTGTGAAGTGAGTGCTGGCATTACCCCCATTTTACAGATGAGGTAAATGAGGTAATGAGCCTTGTCGAGCGAGCGCGTTGTGGACCCTCGTTGGACACTTGTTGCCTCATTGGTGGGGGCCTCCCTGCAGCTTCCTCAGGTCCCAGCTCTTCCTTGCTGCAGGAATTGCTCTGGCAGAATGGAGCCAAATCCCTATCATGCTTGACAGATCACAGCCCTGCAGTGAATCTCCCACACCCTGGGAGTGGGGTCTCCTGCAGAGGGCGGGGCTGGCACAGCTAGGTTTGGGAGCAGTTTGCCCTGCCTGGGCAGAAAAGAAATGCCCTCTCCCCCTCCCCCCATGATATGGAGCCTAAGACTGTAGAAGTGACCCCCCCCCCCTGTAGTGTGGAGCCTCATTTAAGCTCTTACAGCACCAAGATCAAAAGTAAGAACGATTACACTAACAAAATAACAATGAGAAAGAAGAAAAGCAAGTTCAAGATCTATCTGCTCTGCTAACTTGCAACAAAATGTTGAGTTCTTCTGCCTGTTTAGTAGTACTTAAGAGGAAAAGGATTAGTGAACCCAGTAGCATGTTTAATTTTTTCCCCATAAATGGAAATCATTTCTTTTGATGTCACTAGTTTGGGAACTTGCCTCTGGATGCGCCACCCTCCAAAGAGCACCTGCAAACACCACTGAAGCAGAAGCCAAAGGGTTCACATAAAGCAGAATCTTTAACAGCCCTTTTTCTTCCATAATTTCATGGTTTGTTTGGAAATCTGCCCAACTATGATGCTGTATCAGCTGGTATAATACAAGCCTGGTGAGGTGAGTGATTGCTGAAAGGCAAGCTAGTCTTCTGGAGCAGCAGAGGAGATAAAGCGTGAATTCAAAACCAGTCAGAAAAATAATTTTCAAAGTGCCAACTAGCATGTACATAGGAAGGTGATGTCACAAGATAACTTTAAAAACACAAACTCTGTATGAGGTTAAGCAGCGGATCCCAGTCCATATCTTGGCATTCTATGGGTAGTATACGGTACAGAGGACAAGCATGAGACTGATTTTGCAAGAGGAGGAAAGCAATGTAGTATCTTTGCCACATCCCTCCTTACCCCTGTATTTGAGCAAGAGACACCCAGCTATGACTCAGGAGACCTGGGATCAAAGCTGCAGACTCTACTTGAAGCCATCTTTTGGGTTTAGCCTGACTTTTGCACATGCTAAAGATTCCTAAATAATAATATGTTTCATTTTGCATTCACAAAGAATTCTATTACCATAGCAACTGGAATGTGATGCCAGAAGTTTTCTTATAAATGGGGCTTGGAATCCTGAATCTTCTGTCATGCAGGGTGGTGAAGGCCATGTATCCCAATCAGTCCTCATCAAAAACCTTCCCACAGATACACCCAAAAGAATGTGACTCAGGTTACTCCAGAGGCACTTGCACACCCATGTTTACTGCAGCACTATCCACAATAGCTAAGTTATGGAAACAACCAAGATGCCCCACTACTGATGAATGGATTAAGAAAATGTGGTATCTATACACAATGGAATTTTACTCAGCCATGAAGAAGAATGAAATTTTGTCATTCGCAAGTAAATGGATGGAACTGGAGAACATTATTCTGAGTGAGGTTAGCCTGGCCCAAAAGACCAAAAATCGAATGTTCTCCCTCATATTCGGACATGAGATCAAGGGCAAACACAGCAAGGGGATTGGACTTTGAGCACATGATAAAACGAGAGCACACAAGGAAGGTATGAGGACAGGTAAGACACCCAAAAAACTAGATGGCATTTATTGCCCTCAATGCAGAGAAACTAAAGCAGATACTTTAAAGTGACAGAAGCCAGTAGGAGAAGGGGACCAGGAACTAGAGAAAAGGTTAGTTTGAGAAGAATTAATTTAGAAGGCAACACACATGTACAGGAAAGCAATGCGAGTCAACTCCCTGCATAGCTATCCTTATCCCAACTAGCAAAAACCCTTGGCCCTTCCTATTATTGTTTACTCTCTCTCTTCAACAAAATTAGAGATAAGAGCAAAATAGTTTCTGCCTGGAAGCAAGGGGGTGGGGTGATTAAGGGAAGGGGTGGGGGAAGTGGGGAGAAATGACCCAAACATTGTACGTACATATGAAAAAAAACAAAACAAAAAAAAACCTTCCCATAGGGACTTAGGGGTGCTGGCTGCAGAGTGGGAACTCCAAATCACAGTGGCCTGGCCCCACATAACCTGCCTGCCATCTGTTTCCCCTTTGCTCTACACAGTCTAGCTCCAAAAGATGTCCTCATACTGGGCTTCTGGGGGCAGATAAGGTCCCAGAGAATGAAGTCCTAAGTTCTCTTTGCACAGTCTGGTAGGAATACAGACTGGAAGATGGACGATCTTAGAATTTGTGTTTGCATGGGGAACAATGTGTTTTTAATTTCCCCATGTTAATAATGTCCTAGAAATTTGGGACAAATGACAAATTGTTATCCACAGGACTGAGTATGCTGCTGTTCCCATTGTAAGGTGAAAATACAGGAAGTTGTCCTTTACATTCTCCAGTCCCAACGGAGCCTCTGTCCTTGCTTCGTCCTTCTCTCTGTTGGAGCCAAGGGTCTGGGGAAGAAGGAAAAGTGCTCAGCTCCCCGCTTAGGACCGGCCTGTCTTCTATCCCCACAGCTCCTGCTAACTGGTACACAGGCCCCTCCTGCCTGCTGGACACACTCTAGAGGAAGGCTAGAGAAGAGAGGCAGCTGGGCCTTCTGCCTGCCAGGACTGGAGCTGACTCTGAGCAGGAGGCCCTGAGGATTCCTCAGGTAGTCATGCATGCAGAAAGAGAGGTGATGGCTACAGGTGGGCATCTTCAGGAAAGTTCTGGGGCCTGATACTCAGTACCTCCGTATCCATCACTTTCCTATCATTAAGCCATTTCAGCCCAGAAATGTCCCCCAGAACCTCCCAGGCAGAGTCTTTGTTCCTGTCTCTGTTTCCTTTCACAGTTTGGGCATCTCTCTGCTTTAGGCCTGTGGCCACGTTAGATGAGAACACAGGACAGGTATCATGAAGAGCAAACACTTTCAATGTACCAGTCTATGCTGCCTGGTCTTAGTGTATCTCCTTCATTTCTCTCCAGGCCAGAGCAGGTAGAGACAGCCACTAGTCCCTTTTTATAGCTGAGGAAAAGGCCTAGAGAATGCAGTAAGGCACCTGGGCCACATGACTGGGAGGTACCAGGATTCACCACTATTTTGGGGAGCACACGGGCACTGCTCTCTCTACTGAAGAGGGGTCTTGAGAAGAGCAGCTCTGCCCCCCTGGGGGGGTGTGGGATTCACAGAGTCTGTGGCAACCATGGCACATCAGAAGGGTTCAGTGGATGAATTCAATCAGCATGAAGTACAGCCCATTTCTAATCTGCTCGAAGCTGCCCCAAACCCTCCTGTGCCCTAGTCACCCCATCATCCCTCACTGCAGCAGCTTTTGTGGTTGTTGTTTTTTCTCTCATGAGGAATGAGAGAAAAATGCTGTTTGAATTACCGATGGAAAGGGAGGTTGTGCACACTCTGATGCAGAAATAAAAACCTCTAGAAAGATGCAATTTGGGGGATATTGGAAACTAGAGAATGGAAGTATCAGTCTATAAAATTCAACACGGCCAATAAAGCTGGAGCAAGTGGTCAAGTGTTTTAGTGTGCATGGTTGCCGAGGAATTGGCAGGCCACCCTGGGCAGAGCTTCTAGACCGGGAACATTTGTCCTTGGCTCACTGTGGCCTCATTTGCATAACGCTCCTCATGATTCTGAAGCACCTCAGCATTAGCATCGTAAGCACAGTCATGAAAGTGTCTGACAAAATTCCCATCGCAGGCTAAATGTGCCTTTCCAGAGCCATGGCCAGTGAGGGAGGGATGGAGACTGGCCCGTTACGTAGGTATAGGTGGACTTGGCAAAGGCGGTGGACACTAACACACCTGTGCTCCTTGCCTTGGTTGTGTCACATGCACATGTTGGGGGTAGCAATATTCAGGCTGAGGCCTGTGAAAGTGAGGCTGAACTCTTCCCCTCCCCCTAGGTGCCCAGCACCTCACAGCTCATGCTGCTCAGAAGCCCTTGGTGGCTGGAACTGCAGACACAGGTCAGGCTTCTCTCCAGGCCTTCTCCTCCCTTCCCTGCTCCATCTAAAGCAGATCTCTGGCCTCATGCAACCCCAGAGTAGCTCTCCCAACTCTGTTATCCCAAGCTCAGTCTGTGTCGGCCTGAACCCACACAGAATGCCCACATTCTGCTTCTGCTTTCTATACACTTCCTCATTTATTTAGGCATGGCCATTTTGTTTCAGGATAACAAATATTTCTATATCTGTGTCTTGTGCTATTAATTTAGGGCCATTCAACATAGAAATATGCATTCTAATTCTTGCCATCTGTGAATCACCTTCTTTTTTTTTTTTTTGACAGGACTGACATTTATTTTATTTTATTATTTTTTTTTCAGTACTGGGGCTTGAACTCAGGGCCTACACCTTGAGCCACTCTACCAACCTTTTTTAATGTTAGGTATTTTCGAGATAGGGTTTTGCGGAATTAATTGCCCAGGGCTGGCTTTGAACCAGGATCCTCCTAATCTCTGCCTCCTGAGTATCTAGGATTATAGGCATGAGCCACTGGCACCTGACTGGGACTGACATTTAAACTTAGGACTTCACACTTGCAAAGTAGGCACTCTACCACTTGAGCTACCTGGCTCCAAGCACCTTCTTGGTGCACAGCACAGTGCTAGGTACTAAGACTATATTAGGGCATAGAACAGCGTTCCTGCCTGTGGCTCTAACATCTGATGGAACCTGATATTGCCCTTCACTTCCAACTCAACTCCGAAACAAAAAAGGTGCTCTGGCCCCATCTCTAGGGACGTGTTCTGATGTCCATGCAGGGGCACCCTTGTCTGGTTCACAGCTGTTCTGGCCGGGCAAGGCATGGAATACTTTTGCATCAGCAATGGCTCCAGGACAGAGCTTGAGTCTTTGTCATGCTGGGGACCACTGTTCTGGTATCCATCTGGTCACACTGTATGCACAGCACAGCCTCCTGATTGATGGGACTCTGTCCTGAGGGGTAGATATGGTCCTTGTCACCATCCTGCAAAGGCCCACCCTATGTGGAGACCTGGGTAACACCTTGTTATCTGGTCTTTAATGGTCACATGTTCTGCAGTGACCAGAGCTTAGTTTGTCCTCCCTGGCTTCTGTTCTTCAGAGGGCCTCCTCCAAGGGCAAGGGGTCTCTGGAGGTGGCATACAAACAGAAAACACATCACTGAAGTGGCACTGCTACCATGTTGTTCAACTATCAGCCATGCTCTTTACATCCTCTACACACAGGACACGTGTACTCAGCACTCAACTACTTGGCCTAAAGGGTTCTGGAAGGTCTATCACAAAACCCAAGGGCATAGGGCAAGGAGCCACCTCCCTACCTTTGAGGAAGCAGTCCTTGCTGTGGATAACGACGACCCTCTTCCCCAGCAGGCAGGCGGCACGGTGGAGCTCACAGTGGTTCTCATAGAGCCTCCCGTCGGAGCCACACACGGGCATATAGCGGGGCCTGCAGGCCTCCAGGCAGCGGCACTCAGGCTGCCCAGTTTCCCTGCTGAGCACACACCGGCTCCCACGGCTGCAGAGCTTCTTCCTGCAGGAGGCAGGTAGCCTGTGGCTGGAAAGACCTGCAGGTACACAAACATAAAGGATCATGTGCAGGGGCTGGAGAAAGGGGCTGCAAGCTTCCTTTGTGCCTCTTTCAGGTTACAACCAACAGAAGCTCCATCTTCCTGTGAGGCCAAGATTACCCAAGTTGGAACCTGGGGCTCAGGGTGCTTAACAAAGTCTCTGTCCCTGCAAGAGATGGCCATTGGTACGAAGAAGGACATCTTGTACAGAGCTCCTGTCTTAAGGCTGACTCACTCTGGACATCTCAGACACATCATTTGCCCATCCCGGGACCCATAGGATGGCTCTTAATACATCCTTAGTGCTTTCTTGTGCTCGCTCTTCTGGTGGTCAATTGACCAATAAAATGCACAGTGATTCTGTGCTCACAAAGAGGTATCTTACACACAGACCTTCCTTCTTTCTTTTCCTTTCTTAATGTGATGACTTTGGGTCAGGAAGTGCACTAGGACCTGAGGGGTCCCAAAGACAAATAAGCTATGACTGCCTTTTTCTGACCTGGTGATTCTGTAAAGGGATGACACACATGCATATGTAACTCTGGTCAGAATATGACAAGGGCCATTAGTTATGGCCAGGCAAAGAGCTGTGGGAGCCTGGGAGCTACTACTTTTTGGATACAAGAATGGGTGTGGGGGCGCGGCGCTCACAGAGGAAGTAAAGGGCTATGGAGCTGTAGGCTGAGAGATGAGGGGCTCTCCCTGAGACACAATGGGTCAGGGCTCCAGAAGCTACCATGGTGGCATTTGCATGTCTCAGGTAAGAGACCTGACGGGAGGAGGAATGATGTTTGTACAGAAGAGAAGGGAGGGACAAGGTGGGGTTCGAGGAGCCTGAGAGAGCCAAGCAGAGGATTGGGGATGATACTGGGGGCACTGAGAGCTGCTGTAGAGTCTAGAGAGGAACTACACTCTGCGTGTTCAGGATGGGGGTGAGGGCAGCCCAGCCGGGGACATCAGAGGTTGGCCTTTTCCTTGAGGTAGAACGCAGTTCTCCATGGCACCTATCATCAGCAGAGCCTTTTCCTCTTGCCCTGTCCTTTCCAGCATGATGTTGAAGTTATGGACAGGAAGGCTGAGACCCTGCAAGTGGCAGGTGTCATATTGCTTCGGTGTCCCTTGTACTCAACAGAAACCCACAAGATTCTCAGGACAGTACTGGCCAGAGCTCACACCCCAGATGGCAGGGCAGCTAGCAGGAAGGCATTTATAACCAACACATCATAATGTTATAGGAGCCCAAGATATCGGAGGACTGCCATGCACCATTAATGGCAACAGATGGAAAGCTGAGAATTATAAAGTGATATCAAAATACAAATGATTAAAACATGAATGCAAACTTCACGGCCCCAGAAGTCTTTGCTTTTAGTTTTAACTAAACCATCTTTCACATACTCAGCAAGGCAGAATGGCCTGGCAGTCAACACTGAGCCTTTAGCTCCAGCTCCTGCCCCATGGGATGAAAATGCCTAAGGAAAAAATAATCCTCCTTTTCTCATTTTTTTTTTTTGTTAAGTCTGCTTTTCATCATTATAGATGTGAAAGGCAAAAAAAAAATCAGTTATTGGCAAATTAACTGCTTGATTCAATAACTCATTTAAATTCCCCCAGCCTTGGCAAGCTAGAAAATATTGACTTTTTCTGGAATCATAAAAACTTGAAGGTCAGCATAGCTCTGTGCAGTGTAAAAGTGCAGCTCGTGAGCAGGCCGTGTGAATCTCCTTTATCCACTTTGCTAATTGTTCGTATGTCACCACAAAGACTCCCTGGCATTCCACGGCCCCTCTGCAGCCTTTTCATGGCACCTGACAGGTGTCGGGTGGGAAGGGAAGGCAGGCTCTTGGCAGGGGAGGCTCTGGGCTGGAAGCCTCTACTCACGGACTTCTGGCTACTTTACCTCAGAGTGTGTTTGAGTAACATGGTCCTCCTAGGTTTTTGGAAAATAGGTTACCTTGGAAAGTGCTAGTGGCTACTAGAAGAAACTGATGCAGCTCTAAAAATAACAGCCTTTGTTTCTTTCCCAAGATAGGGCAAGGAAACAAAGGATTGCTGTTGGATGGGAACTTTAATAAACTTCCCTGCACATGCAGGATGGAAACCCACTAATGACTCCAATGTGAAGAAACAGCCTAAATCTCTGTGCTTCTGGCCTGTCAGTTTGCCACGGGGCTTCTGCTCCACTATGTTGATGCCTCCATTACTTTCTCCCTCTGGCTGACCAGCTTCTACTTACCCTTGGGTTCATTTGCTGTATGAGGTACTTGTTGTCAGCCCAAGCCCAAGGGTTGCCTCCTTGAATACCCTCCCCCAGAGCATATGGACAAGTACTGACCTGTGTCCTCATGTGGTCTCAGGACACTCAGATTTTAAGAGACACAATAGTTTTAACAGCCAACCTCCTTAATGCTGATTTAGTGTTGCTGTTCCAATGCCAGGTTAGGGTTGGCACAGGGAGGGTGGGGAGGGCCACGAGCAGTGACTATCAGAGGACAAATCTCCCTCACCTCCCCCAAGGGGAGCAGGAGGGAAGTGGAAGGAGACATGAAGGGAAGTCATGTCTGTGTAGGTGCCTTGTGAGTCAAGGGGACCTGGAAAGGCAGAGGAGAAGGGGCTTCAGAGACTAGCACAGCTAGCTGGGCCGGCGAGCTAGAGCCAGCTGACTGTGAACAGGGGGCCCTGCTCTTCCTGACCCTCTCTTTTGAAATGCTCAGGTATCCAAATTGTAGGGAACACCTCTGAGGACCAGTGCCATATGTGGGCTGTGTCAAACTTGATTAGCTTGCGAGTGGGACTCTCAAAGGCTATGTTCTGAGGGGTCAAGATTAAGAAAACACTGTGTTAGTCCGTGGCCATCAAAGATGTTGAGAACACTCAGGTCCTCTCTGCTGTGGAAATTGGCTGTTGGCAAATATTTAATTCCTAATTATTTGCAATTAAGACAAAAGTAGCTTTAAAACCCTGGGTATTATGTCTTTCGCAAAGACTGCTGACAGCAGGCCCCATGGGGACTGAGAATTCCAGGGCAGGGGGAGGCATGGGGAGAGTGATCCAATCCTAGCCCCAGAGGTGCTGACCATGAGGTGGTTTCTTCATTAAACAGGCCCCTTGTTGCCACTTTCTTCTTGTCATTAAAGCAGAATGAATTTCCCACTCCTATCAGGATGATGATAAAACCGTAATGGGAAAGGTAACCAAGTGAGACCACCAGCAACTGCCTACAGTATTTATGAGCACAACCGTGATGCATGAAAAAAGATATAACGTGCTTAATTTATAGTCATAAAGGAAGTCGTTTACCCAGGTTAAAAACTGATCATCTTGCCAAATAAGCTGCTTTTCAACACTAATTAGATTTAGTGAACATGGGTAGAAATGGGAATTGTTACATTAAAGAGATGGCGGCAAGAGCAACAAGTCCATTTGTATGAGTTGATGCTGAAGACTCCCGCTATGATTTGAACCAGGATTCTGGATAAGAGCAGCACAGACCAGGCTGCCATAAGCTCAGAGCACTGGTGCAGGTGATGTGGGTTAGCATGTGTGGAAGGCAAGCCTGTGCCAGGGGAAGTCATTAAAAGAGGATGAATCCTGAGCCAGGTCCAAGACAGAGAACACAGGTCTCTATTCACCTGGAGCAGGAATCACCCCACATGGTTTCCTCACAGCCCACATCCAAGAGCACAAATGGATTATTTTGCTTTCAAATTGTGGATCAGTCTCTGTAGCTGGTTCCTTGGACCAAAGTAAACCTAAGAGTGTTCCCTTCTTAGTGATCAGGCCCCAAATGACACATGGGTAAAGCTAGGGTGGAATGTTCCTCCAGCTTGGCATTGTAAACAGTATTAAGAGGCAGGGCCTTCAATAATAAGCAAAGCAGGGCGAGATTCCAAAGTGATAGGAGGCAGAGACTGGTGAGTTCCCAGAGTTAAATTATTCCATCTCCCTGCGTCAGCACCAGGAATTGATCCTGTGTGACTCTTCATTCTGTGTTCAAAGTCTGACTGTCAACTTTAGGAATGTGGGGCTTTGTTTTGCTTTATTTATTTGTGGCCCTGGGATTTTATCTCAGCACCTCAGACTTGCTAGGCAGATGCTCTTACTGCTTGAACTACTTCTGCAGCCCTTTTTTCTGATGGTTCCTTTTGAGAGGCAGGGCCTTTAAGAGGTGGTTGGTTGCGAATGGATGAATGCTGTTATCACAGGACCAGGACAGTTATCAAGGGAGTGGGCTCCTGATCAGCAGGAGAAATTGGCCCCATTTCCTCTCTGGTTCCTGCATGCCTGCTTATCTTCCTGCCATGCCATGGCATAGCATGGAGGCCCCTGCCAGATACAGGCACCATGCTCTTGGACTTGCCAGCTTCCTGACTTGTTTAGCCAGGAGCTAAACAAACTTAAATTGTTTATAAGTAGTCTGTTGTTTAGTTAGTCGTTTATAACTTAGTGGTACTCTGTTATAGTAGCAGAAAATGAACTAAGATGAGGGAAAACCCATCAGCTTTTCCACTTTGGGATGCCAATTATCTGCTAGTATGTTTTGCCCAGTGCAGCTTTTCTATGTCAAGAACTTACCTTCAGCTTGAGTACTAATGACAGCCCCACTTTTCCCCTGGCCAGATCCTGGGAGCTCCCACTCCAGACCTCAATTGGAGGTATTGATGCCTCCTGTGGGCTGCCAGCACCCGCACAAAGGACCTGGGGATGAATCCCCACAACCTCACCCCACACCCTATGAAGTTGTAGTGAGGTGATAGCGTGGCTCTGAGGAGACCAAGAAGAGAAGGACCAGAAACAGCGTGCATAGCACCAAGAACCTCAAGAATTGTACTGGCCACATGCCATGAAAGTTAGCCTGGTCTAACAGCTGTCTCCAGCATCTGCAGACAGAGGTACCTGTTCAGGAAGCAAGTGTCTGCCAGGGCGAATGCAGCCTCTTACCCATGGATTGCACGCTATCATCTGTGCATTGGTCCTGGCCATGGTAGAGCTGCAAG